TACACATTTAATTTGTATCACATGATTTGATCATAAGTTTCGATTTAGCGGATCTCTCGATTTAACGGATAAATTTTTTGGAAAAAAATATCCGTTAAATCGAGACTCACTGTGTATATATATATACAAAAATTACGACATTTAGTAGGGCACCGTAACACGACAACCTTTTCTTCTTTTATATATGTTAACTATGAAAAGTTGACCCTGAAAATATATTTTGATTTTTGCCCCATGAAAACTATTTTTAGTGTAGCTAGCTATCTATATGGCAAAATTCGTGTACACTACTAATAATCCATCTAATAATCTAAATATGAATTTATTAAATGAAATATTACAATTCAGTAAGCTACTTACCTCAGCAAATGGAAATGATGTTTTCAGTTGGGATTCCAAACATTTAAATTTTGTTATTCGATATGCACGTACGATTGAAACTAAGTTATTTGGATTATCAAGGGAAAAAACAGATCTGATTCAACAACAACTTGATAATGGAATGGCCAGAATTATTAAAAAACAAAAACCACCACCACCCTTAGAAGAGTTAAGAAATGCTCGTTGTTTATTGTATAAAGCATTGATAAGTAATCCTAAATTATCAAATAATTTGTATTCTTACTTGTTAAAAACATATGGGTTTAATGATGATAATGAAAGAAATTCTTCTTCAAAAAAGGATATTATAACAAAGGCATGTATTTAGTAGTATACTCGAATAAAGAAAAGGTATTTATATATTAATTTTAATCTTTTTTTATTATGTTTATAGGATATCCTAACACGTGCTAAACCGTCTGCAACAATTGATGTTTTAGCAGGAATTACCAATACTTTTTTAGAATGTTTGGATGACATTAAAATCAATCATAATTTAGTAGAAACAAAAGATATTTCCACTACTACCATTTGTAATGAATATTATATTCGAATAATAACCAAAAACAATTTAATTGGTGAAGAAAATTTTTATTATATATAAAAAAAGATAAAATTTTATTTTTAACATATGACTATCTTTTAGATTCAAGGACAATAAAATACGACTACTCATTCAAACTTTCACCTATTAATATTAAAAGATGTACTGCTGGCAGAATATTGTTAAAAAATTGTTTAAAATTGTACAATAATAGTAGCAGCAGTAATGGATATAATGGATATATTCACTGTGATTTAAGAAAAGAAGTTGAAAATCAAATTATCAATTACTTGAATAATTATGTTGGAGAAGAATCAGGTGGAATGGTAAATAAATGATGATGATGATTTTGTGATGATTTTATTATTTCAATCCTGAATTTATAATAATAGCATAGCTCTTTTATTTTGTCAGGAAATAGTTTTTCATAGCACTATACTAGCTTTTGAAGATAACCAATTTTATCGTGATGATGATGATCATGGCTATGTTAATAATTTAAATTTATTAGGGTTGAGACAACTTTTTCTAAGGTGGATTATGACATGTATTTTTTCTAATCAAAATCAAAAAAATGGTACAAAAATGACAGATATTGAATCAGAGATTTGGATTTTACATCCTTGGATACTTGAAAAAATTTCACAATATCATGAACCATTCTTTAAATTTTATTATGGAAGATTGATACATTGTACACGTGAAGAACAACAAAGGATGATGATTTTGGAAGATGAAAGAACATTCAATCATTCTATTCAACCTTTGATGTATTATAGAAAAATTATTAAAAAATATGATAGTGATAAAGATGATGATGATACTTTTTATATTAGTAATACTACTAATAGTACTAACACTGCCATTATTAAAACTAATGATAATATGGAAACATCTAGCCAACAAACTAGTGAACAATATAATATCAAATTGATAGAAAATTTACTCCAACAATGGAAATATTTATTATGCAATAATAATAATGGTAGTGGTGGCAGTAGTAGTAATAATAACTACGAATATGGAAAAGAATTATTAAATGATGAACTCAAAATTTTTAAACAAAAATATTTTTTTAACCCAAATGTCAAATTTGGGTCTCGATTTATTTCTCTACAAATATGGAAAAAATTTTTTTATGAATTAGGAATACATGATAATGACGAACATTTAGATAGTATAATGAATGAATGAAATTGTGAAATAAAATATATTTCTTTTAATTGTTTATTGAAGGGGAGAGAGAAGAAAAAGAGTAATTTAAATAATTTTACAAAAAAAAAAATACAAGAAATAAAAAAGATTTGTCTATTCATGTTTATATCATCTTATAAAAAGTCCAAATAATATAAAATTGTTTGTTTATTTAATTGATGAAATTTTCTAATAATTAAAATAAGCTGATTTTTTTGATTATCATATTTTAACCGAGACAATTAATTCTTCAATAATATCAACATTTGCTTCACACAAAATATTTTTAAACAATTCACTTTCACGAATTTCATTCCAATTACGTTTTGCAAAACGATAAATTGATTTTCGTAATCGTAAAAGATCTTTTTCCCAAGAAAATATAAGTAAGCTATCCCAAGTTTTCATGTTGATCAACGATATCATTTCTGATATGACGATTTCTATAAGTTCATGTAATGCGTCCACTTCAAGAGTTTTACGCATTTCTGCATCAATATAGATTTTTTGAAGTTTTGTAATTTTTGCATGATCTGTTTCATCCTTTACCTCTAACAATTTACCTGAATAGATGAAATATAATATGTTATAGAAAATTTCATATTTCACCTCTTGAATATGAATTGGTTTGGATTCTTTAATCTCAAGCATCCAATCATTTTTTATTAAAGTTTTAAAATAATGTGATCTTTGTGCCAATATAACTTGATGCGCGTATACTATTTGCCCGTCTACCATTAATTTAATATCACTGAAATTTTGTGAATTAAAAATTTCTGCAAATGTAGTTGAACTTGGTTGTGAATTCAATGTTAAATTGGAAAATGGTTCTAAATCATCCTTTATCCCAACTGGGGTTTGTGTAACAATCACTACATGAACAACCAATGTATCATCATCTAGAACATGGCCACTTTTTTGAAGTTCTGGTGGCAGTAAAATCTTTGAATCATCTGAATTTGCAATAGCATTAACTGTCACTTCTTTGTTAAGAAGTATTTTCGAACAAAAATTCGGCCATCCCCAAGCTGGTTTTGCTTTTAGAAATTCATGCCTTTCACTTAAAAGAAAAAATTTTATAAAAATTTAGCAGAATTATTAATAAAGTTTATTTATTACTAAATTTTTGAATCTTATTAATAAAATTTAACGTACCAACGACGTTTTACCAATTTTAATATACGAGATTCTCCTTGTTGATATGGTATATAAAATCCAATATAGAAGTTAACATTAACGCGTGCAGTAGCTTGTGCGTCATTAGAAAATAAAGCCTCTAAATAGCAGCTGATATTATTTTGAGTACTTTCACTATTTCCATTTGGATGAAATTTTAACCTCCAATTTAAAGGTATATAAGAGCATCCGTCGTCATCAAATAAACTGATGTTACAAGTCCATTGAGGACTATGAAAATACTGAGGTTTTGGTGTTAGTTTTTCTATTTTTGTGAATTCTTTAATGATCCAGGCATAATTATTAATAACACTACTACCAATTTGTGAATTGGTGTTGTTGACCGTTAGCATTTTTCAAAATTTATTCTTTTTTTTACATAATACAAGAAAAAATAAATATATTTTAATTCTGTCACATGAGCTGTCACATGAATATAGAATTACACAATTGTTTATCATCAACAATAAAAAAATTTTATTTTCTAGAAGTTTTTGTTATAACAAAAGTAAACTAAATATGTGATTTGAGAATAAAATGTCTCTTAGGTGAAACAAAAAGAGGATGAGAAAATACCTTATTTAGTTAAATGTCAGATAAAGATACAAATGGAAAACCTTGCTTTTTCTTTTGTAAGTTTTTGATTTACTCTTTTGAAGAATACAATGATGATGATGATGATGATGATGATGATGATGATAAATAGAACTAGCCAAAAATTGTACTTGTGATTTGATTGAAGAATGAAAAAAGAAAAAATTTAAGTCTAATAAAACTAATAAAGATCATAATAACAGTGGTAAAGATGTCAAAAACATAAAACAAAAGAAAATCTAAAGAAAAAACTAAATCATAATCATCAAGGTGGTAAAAAATACATAGTTTTCAACTTTTCTTAAAAAATTTGCTTAATTTATTATTTCATTGTCCAATTCATTGCAATAAACTTTTTTTTTTTTACAAGTAGTGAAGGAAAGGATCAACCTCAAAAACCTGATGTTGATCTATTACTGCAACAAAACCAGACAAAGTGAACATTGGTATTGCCAAAGATTTCAGGGATCAATATTGTTTGTTTAAAATCTTAACATCACAAATTGTATTGCCATAATGTAAGATATTTGTCTATGCAAAAATAGTTAATATCTACATCAGATCTACTATGCTAAAGTTAGTTGTTTAGTTAATTATTTTAGTTGATTCCAACCTCTAATATTTGCAAATATATATATAGAATAATGGTTTTGGACAAAATTGGGTTTTAATTCTAGCTGTGATATAACAAAAGAGCCTTTCTATAAAGATCTCGGACTGAGAATTTATATTATTGGTATGATTCATATATAAATTATAACCATCTGTCTATACTGGACTCTCTATAACGGACATTTTTATTCAATCCAACAATCTGTTATAGAGTGTAAATTGTAATATTATTTATCTATAATAAATTTATTAATTTCGCATTAATATTCATGATCGGCATAAATCTTATTGGTTGAATCTCCATATAATAATAATTCTATTTTCAAATTACGTTTACATGCCAGCATATTAAAAGATGTTTTCATAAACAACAATACATAACATTTAATATTACATTATTGTTATGAATTTTAGTTCTGCTTAGTTATATAAACCCTGATTCTTTGAAAGTTATCTATATCTTGCTGATCCGCCTTTTTCTATGGTGATTGTGGTTGATTTAATTTTATAGATTTCTGTGATCCCTCCAGGAGATTTATGTTTAAATTCCTTGGCTTCTTCGGTTAGAATATTTGTTATTCTTCCAATCCGCTCCAAAAGATTCTGTTGAATGAAAATAATAAATTATAATTAAATTTATCGTGGCTTATATACAAATTTAAGTCAAAAAAAAACATATGCCGTAAATTAAAAATGCTTTACAAAGTAAAACAACTTCTCTAATACTTTCATCTTTTTCCGGAAACATCTCAGAGGCCCAATCCCATATTCCATATAAATCCCCATTTATTTGAAAAAGGAGGTAGAATCTAATTTTCATTCCAATAATCTGATAGAATGGTATAAATATGGACATCATTCCTTTCTGTAAACTCTCAGGAAGAGGATTTTTTCCACTTTGTTCTATTAAATAATTTTCAAGTTTTTTGTGCTGTGATTTCGTAACTTTGATTATTTTAATAAAATTTGAGATTGATTTATCATGATTATCTTTATGTGTTGGCCCAGTATTTTCACCGATACCTGATTCATAAAATGAACTCTACATACAAAGATCTGTGTTAGAACTAATTTATTGATTTTTCCAGAACAGAATGGCACATACCAAATATAAAAAGTCACATGCTTTGCCAACTCGACTAGTTCCAGAACGATCAGTTTTGTCTTCACTATCAGCAACTGATCGATTTTCACCACTTAAAGAACAGAAAAAAATTTTAATAATATTCAAAGAAACAAGCAAAAAATATGCCCAAATCCTTACTATAAAAAAATAGTGCGAGGAGTTTTTGCAGAAAATGAAATTATGTGAATTCGCAATTCACATATGTGAAATTCAAATTTACATGTGTGAAATTCAAATTAGCCAATCAGAATTTCACCCCATTCCATAATCACATAATTTCAATTTCACATACAACAGTCCTAAAGAAGACATGTTATTTATTGATGGCAAGAGGTACACTATTTTTTGTTGTATTGTATTGTATTTTATTTTTTTTTTTATTGTTTTATAAATTTCTTTGATACACGCTTTTTTATTATTTTGTATAAATGTATATTGTTGAAATCAAGACATGGAGCAGATCTTGTCGTGTCTCTTTAGGTATTTATTATAGAAAATTCTTGATGATAATAAGTAGGGTTGTTAACGGTCTGGTCCGGTCTGGTCTGGTCCAAAGACCGTCAGTCTAACCAAGGGACCGGACTGTTGGACCGGTCTGAGACCACGGTCTGGACCGCGGTCCAGACCATGGTTCAGACTTTGAGTGAAACGAAATAATAAGAATTTGTATTATTATTATGAATATTTTGAATTAATATTAATATTGTCTCTGATTAAATTTGGGAGAGCGTATTTTAATGGGTGATAACAATTATTTTTGTTTCTGTGTGGATCAGAATGAATAGGGGATCAACGAATTGATTTTGTTATTAGTGAATAATTTTGTTTAAAGATAAAAGTTTATTTAAATAAAATATTACTATTTTATTTATTTAGTTTTCTTAGTCAAAACTAATTAACTTATTACCAAGTTACTTTTACATTAGGTCGAAATTGAGTTCTTTATATACAGTTCAATTAATTATAAATTCTAAAATTTCCCAAAATTGCGAGGATATCCCAAGACGATTCTTTCTTAAATAAGTTAAATAAAGTACGACGTTATACAAATAATTAAGAATAATAAAAATAAATTAATAAAATAAGGTGATAAAAATAGAAATAAATAAAATATAATAATAATAAAAATTAAGAATTTCGGAATTAGTCAAATTCGGCCAAAAGAGCATCCAAATCTAATTCCAGTAACAATAATAAAGAATAAAGATTAGAAAAAATTTCCTAATCTTGCGTCTAAAATAACATATGAGCATCATCATCATTTTTTTTTGCAAAATTTTAAATTTTACAAAATTTAGTGATTGACAAGTGATTGTATGGAGGGATTTTTTCTTATCTTTACTAATGTTGTGTTATATGACTAGGCGTGATAGTGACTATAAGGGAGGAGTGACTATACAGGAGGTGACTATATGGGGGGCCAACTGTATTAGTTGAATTAAAATATCTTTTTGTCGTTTAATCATTGTCTGTAAAAATCTAGGGGTTAGGGGCAGTGTTGAAAATTCAGCGGGAGGGTGTAACGTTACACCATAATTATGTGTGCACGAAATAAATTAATTAAAATTAA